GTTTATAGTATCGGCCAACATATTATCGGACATTCCTGTTAACAAACTCAAACTCTGCAATCGCACCCTCGTCAATCCAGCAACGATCTTCGTAATTCTGCACGTCACAGACAGAGAGCGCCTCAAACGAACGACCAAACACTCAAAAAGTAGCTGAGCAAACGTTAAACTAATAAAAAAAAAACCCCAAAAGCTCACACCGTGTCCAAACGTTTCTCTACAGCGCCACACCTGGCATCACGACAACAAACGTTCAAAGCTGTGAAATAAAAAAACGCTCGTGAGTTTCAGTCCCCGACGGAGCAGGAAGTGTCTGTGATGAAAGCAGACCGACGGTCGGTCCTCAAGTTTTTTTTTGTTTTTTTTTGTGGACTCTCTCTGGGAGGGACATCTGACAAACACGTTATGGCTCTGTTTCCATAGCGATCTGTGAAGACGACCAGATGCCAGAGAAGACAAGTCTTGTCTATAAAAAGGCAGCGCTCGGCAGAAAGCCTGTTATTACTGCTATCATTCAATTGGCCGTGATTTGCATAATTAAACTCTCGTATTGCCAGGCACTGGAAGCCGCCGAGAGTCTCTCTCCTCGCTAACTGGATTCCTGCTACGACAGCGAGGATGAGGGATCGCGTTAAGGAGGAATGTTCCCTCAGCTGACCCCGGCCGCTCACAAATCAATGTTGGGATTATATATTAAATTGAACTTGATTAGGTTCCATTTCCTAAAGATGAGCCGTATATTCCTGTGCCTGCTCCAGGGGGCAGCGTGCAGACGGACGAGGTGAGAAATGGCCTGGACTCGACTGCGATATCTAACTACAGGAAAGACCGTGACAGAGCGGAGCAGGAAATAAAGAGGCCGATGGCTTTGAAATGAGGGTTCGGCCTTGAATTTAAAATACTCTTTTTTTAAAAAAAGAATTTGTCCTTTGAAAAGTGTTCCTTCGATAGTTTGGACAAAACGTTGTTGTGTCCACGTTGGACTGGGACAGATTTATGTCGGAGCAGAAGACAGAGGATGATGAAGGACCTTGGAGTAAGAGCTCACAGATTTAGCATTTGTTGCACATTTGACAGCATCCGAAGGCAACACCTGATTTATGTCTGTGAAGATTCTGTTGCTTTTCTCTCCGCGACCACAAACCTGGAGCCACAGAAACTCCTGAATCCCATTATGACACAGCAATTTTTCGCTGACTCGTCCCGAGCAGTGACTAAACTGTGGGATCAGTCAGACGTCATCTCTACAACTAGGGATGTCCGATAAAATCGGCCGATTGATATTATCGCTAGGCCCGATATTAGCATACTTATGTGATAGCTGTAGGAATAGTTATCGGGTTTTCCTCCGATAATGAAAACCTGATAACACAATGCCTGGGTTTCACCAAATGATATGTGACCTAAAAATAGTTTTGGGGGAAAAACAGCTGTATATGAAGGTGAAAGCCACTAGATGGCAGCATTGCAGCTCATTTTAATAATCAGAGTGATTGTATGCAGGAAAATATCGGCATATCTGATATCGGCACAAAGTTAATATCGAACATCCCCTACAGACAACCAATGAGAGTCTTACCTCGACTAAGTGCGGCGTGGGGTTGAATCCACACATGTTGCACACCTGGGAGTTGCACTGGGTGCAGGTGTTGTAGTTCGGAGCTTCTGCTGCGTTTCCTACGTTAAGGTTGGTCTTACAGAGAGGACAAGACGCTCTGGGCCTCGACTGCTGCTGCTGCTGCTGCTGCTGCTGCTGCTGCTGAGGCTGAGCAGGTCCTCGAGCCCCCTGCTGTGCAGTTCCCGGGGGTTTATTAGCCCCAGGTCCAGGGCCGGGGGGTCCTCCTGGTTTGGGGGCTGGTTTTGGGGGCTGTTGTTGGGGCTGAGTCGTCTCTGATATCAGGTTAGAGGCCTGGTTGAGAAGAGACGCTCCAAAACCAAACAACTTCCCGAAGGCCTGTTCTGGGGGCGGGGGCTGTCGTGAAGGGGAGCTCCCCGCACTGCGAGTCTGATCCTGGCGGGGCTGATGGGGTTGGTGGGCGGGGGAGCTGTGGGACAGGTCGGGCTGAGAGGGGGCCTTTGCCATGCTGGAGGAAGGGAACTTGGGTTGTTGTGGACTGGGGCCGGTCGGGGCAGTCTGTCTGGGGGGCTGTAACTGAGGAGGGGTCTGCGTTTGTGGGGCGGACTGAGCCAACGCCTCAGGTTGATGTTCAGGTTTGGCTGTGTGAGAAGGAGAGTGGATCTGTTGCTGACTCTTGGAGCGCGGTGTGGTCATATCCATCCCTAGCGCCCTCTGCATCTGACAGTTCAGACACAGCCACTCCTGCACCTGGAAACACAAACGAAAAAAAAACAAAAACAGCATCGGATTATTCACTGATTTGAACTGGAAGAAAAAAATTAAATAATTGGCTGGAATCACACCGGGTTTAACATCTTTGCAGACGCACTGAAAGAATATAATAATAATAATTAAATCCAGTGGTTTACGAAGTGTGAGACAGGTGTCCTCTAGGGGGTGCCAGAGCTGTTAAGGCGAGGCAGAACACCAGAACTAGCTAACTCGGTGAAGCTCATTCAAACTTCCTAAAATTGAGACAAAAACTAAAATCTGAAGTTTAGTCATTCATTTTATTGATTTTTTTATATTTAAAAAATATTTTAAAAAATGAAAAGTTGAGTGAATGGGTGAAGAACTGACCACGTTAAGACTTTCCAACAATTTTTTTTTAGATGTTGAATTTTTTAAAAATTTTTTCAAATCCTGAGCCTCCAAATTATTATTATTTTTTTTTTTTTGCTAATTAAAGGTTGGATTCCTCTAATCTCACCACAGAAAGAGAATCTTAGAAAACCTTCTTACAACTGTCAGAATATATCGTCGATAAACAAACATTTTTACCCAATGTGAGAAAAGAATAAATGTGTTTATCTCTTTGTGTGGCAGCTTTTCCCCCAGTGCATGCTGGGACAGCCGTGAATGGGTTTAAATTGGGTTTGCTGAAGTGATCGAATGAAAGAAAAACTGTGAACGATGCAGATGTCATTGAGGACGGACTGAAGCTCCGCGCTTTATCGGAAAACATGCGAACAAACGTGCCGTGAATGAACTCCGTCTTCGGTAACTCACGGCCTCACGTTCCCTAATCTGTGCTCACGTTGTCGCACCGTGGTTGTGATTCGTTTGCCCCCCCCTCCGGTGTCGTGACGCAACAGCTCGCCTCCCTTGTTAAATCTTCTGCCACTCACAGCCGCCGCTCTGCTCTACCCCGCTCTCCCCCGCTCTCCCCCGCTGCCATCTTTCTTTTTTCTTTTCTCTCTCTGTGCCTGTGTTCATGCTCTGACCCGAGGGGTGAAAGTGAGGACGAGGTTCAGTGGCACCGGCGCTCGGCCACGTGTTCTAATAATTGGCATCCTCACGCGTTGACAGCTGCCGCTCCGTCGTGGTCGTCTCAGACCTGTGGTCATTACTAAAGGCCTTGATGCATTAAATATGCTGTGGAAGAAAGAACCGCTGGTTCAGGGTCTGAGACACGACGGGCCCAGAGTGAGCGTTAGACGGAAACTTTAGTTGGTTTTTGTTTTTGTTTTCAAGTTTTTGTCTTCTCCAAATCTTTAACCAGTCGAAGCTCGACGTCCGATGTTTGCACTTTGTTCGGCCGCAGCGACAGGAGCTAAATCAGACAGAGATTGATTGATCTGAGGGGGCGGAGTCAGACGGCTGCTCCTGGTTCTGAACACTGGTTCTCCAACAGAACACCTGCTCTGTGAGCAGCCGTCTGGTTACATTATACAGTTTCCTCCAGTGAGCAGCAGTGTGAGCCAATCACAGTTCACCATCTGGGCTCAGTACCATTACATCACCATCAGTCACATACACTGGTCTGAGGGTTTGGTTTCATTTGGTTAAATATGTCAGTAAGTCGACCTGAAAAAAACAACTACCAAAAACTACTAATAAACTTTTATTATTATTATTATTATTATTGTTGTTGTTGTTATTGTTATTAAGTTCAATGCTGTTAATAATAAAATAATAATAATTATATTATTATTATTATTGCTGTTGTTGTTATATTTGTTATTATATAATGTATTTATAATAATTATTATAAATAGAATAATTAATATAACTATGGTAATTATTATAATATTAATTAGAACATTCATACATGACCAAATCTCTATTATATAATTAAATAATTTACAAATACGACCAAATTTACATGATATTTAGGACACTCTGAACATGATTGGCTGCTGTATATGTGACATCATCACATCATTTACTCTGCACCCGTGGGAGACCAGTGATTGGTTCACATCTCGTCCACAGAACCCCAACACCCGTGTGGTCGTTCTTCCGTTCGTGGCATCAGTGTTTACTATTGGACAGCTGTGATTAGTCACAGCTTCAGGACTCAGTGGACGTCCAGATTCGACCTGGACGTCCAGATTCGACCTGGACGTCCAGATTTGACCTGGACGTCCAGATTTGACCTGGACGTCCAGATTTGACCTGGACGTCCAGATTTGACCTGGACGTCCAGATTTGACCTGGACGTCCAGATTTGACCTGGACGTCCAGATTTGACCTGGACGTCCAGATTTGACCTGGACGTCCAGATTTGACAGGACCTGAAAATAGTTTTGAAGTGAAAGTGAATTCTTGTCATTATGACACGTCGATTGTTTGGATAAATATCAGATATCGTCAGAAGGTTAGTATCGGACCTCCCTAGCTGAGATTTATTCCTGCTCTTTGACGTTAACACCCGTTTGTCGGCCGCTCCGCGTGCGTCTCCGTCTCCGTCTCCGTCTTCATCAGTCAGTCTGTAAGTCACCGCTGACAGTGGAAGTCACCGACTCAGCTGCATTTCAACCTTGCGTCTGGTCCCCCGTCAATCCTCACTGCACGGAGTAACGACTTGATGATTTCAGCTGTCAATCACAGAGAATCCGAGACGCCCGGGGCCGAGGTGAACCGTAAACCTGCGGCGAAATCGCAGACGACCGCGGCGCCGCAGAACGGGACTCAGTAAATCGGAGAGAATCACGAACATGAGCTCGTCGCTTCGTCGTCTAATTGTCCTTGACTTTTAACCATGAAATTAGAGTCGGGATAATTAAAAGGAGCCCCCTAGAGGACAGAAAAAAAACAACACAACAACACAAAGAAAACAGCTGCAGGGAGGACCGGCAGCTATTTATCAACTTCATGGTGTCTCCTCCTAAGCCAGCCCCCCCCCCCTGCTCCACCCCCCCCGGCCCCCCCCCCCCCCCCCCCCCCCTTGTTATGAGGTAATCACGTGGATCTGTATGAAATCTGATCTGTATCAGCAAGAATCACCTTCTCCCTCCTCTTTGTTTCACCTTCTCTCTCCTCCGTCTCCAGACTCTCATCACTGGAACTGAAAAAACTCCGACTCCTTCTTTTTAATCTTCGTCCTCGTGAACGCTGTCGTTGGAACTCACGCAGCTTCTCTTTGTTATTCTGCCGTAATTGCTGCTTTAGGAGCGAACACGTATGTACAGGTTGACGGAGTGTATGTGTGTGTGTGTGTGTGTGTGTGATGCACATGAAAGGTCAGGAGCTGAGAGCAGATCCCACACTCGTTTGTCAACACGATGCTCCAGAGCTGAGGAAGTGCACGAACCAAGAACCAGTTGGCGCCAAAAATAGAACCTTTTTTCGAAAGCGAGGCCCCACAGAGACTTGGATCAGATAACCAGAGCGCAGCATCACACACACACACACACACACACTGTGTGTCTTTAATTATGTGCCTTCCACTTCCTCCATCATTTTTCACTTTCCAGATTATTTTCAGTATCAGTTGATAAATCTGTCTGGGTGAAAACGACCGTCCAATCACAGTCCATCAAATCAATCTTAAAAAAAATGATTTCACATAATTACAGTTGAAAAAATTATTAAAATGTTTTGCTAAATGCCCCCGCCGTCGATTTAGTTGAAAATATTCACATTTAATGTAAGAAAATATTAAAGAAAATATAAAAATTGAAATCCATTTAGCCTCACTGTGCCCTCCTCTAGTCCCCGCCCCCTAGTTTGAGCACCACGACATGATCATCACAGTGCAGTCAGCAGTTTAATCCAAGTCTCTACTATAATAATCTTATTCTTAAATAACTGCATTTTAAAATACTTTTTTTTTAATTTGATTTTTTTTTTGTTAATTATCTTTGTCTAATTCCTCGTCTGTGATTCAATAATGAGAGCAGATTTTTTTATCTTGTGTAAAAATGAAGGGAATCGTCCAGAAAAAAAGTCCAGTTTCTACTGAACCACGTTTGAAGTTTGTGTTTGTGTAAATGTCGTTACTGGAGTTATTTTTTTTCAGTTTGTTTGTGTAAATGTCGTTACTGGAGTTGTTTTTTTTTTAGTTTTTAGTTTTAGTTTAAAGAAGAAGTTTTCTTTCTTTTTTTTTTCTCTCTCTCTGAAATGTCAGCGTTCGCCTGATGTTCATCATTATTTCTTTGTTGTTCCTTCAAGGACTCCGTGCCCTGTTGAATTCTGAACCAAAGCAGCAGACGCAGAAAAATACGGAGAATTTTAACTTGACTTTTCTCCGTGTTCTATAGGAGAAAAAAAGGGAAATAAAAATAATGACGGTTAAGAATAATAATAATGTTCATCAAAGCGTCTCATTGTTACACTCCGCCGGTCTGGTCTGAACCCGAAACTAAAACTGTAAGAGCTTTTCCATATCTGACATTTTTTATTATATTTTTAATAACGTTTTGCTGACAATAAAACCAAACACCATTTCACTGCAGCTCCTTTTACCAGAATAATCAAAATAATTCAACCCTGTTTTTAATAATTAGTCTCATTAGAACTCATTTTTATATTATTATTATTATTATTATTATTATTATATTTTCACTAACTCTAACTGCTGACAACACGAGTCATCGTTAACTATAATCTGGAATTAATGCAGAGCTGACAACGGCTGCTGTGATTGGTCAAACGTCATTAACCACAGCGTCACATGACCACTGTTTTCTGTAAATGTGTTTCACCAAATCCAGGACGACGTGACTGAAACTGTCACAAACATCGT